CTGACCCGGGTGCCAAGTTGCGCTCTGGAGGGAACCCAGGCGCATTGACTGCTCCGGGCGTGGGAGAATTGAAATTGGGCGGGAGACGCCAGCACCTTTCTCCCCCGTGGCAGCACCTTTCTCCTCGGGCGAGACGCGAGCGTGGGCTGCAGGGGAGCTGCGGGTGGCTTGGGCTCACGCTGGGGTGACGATGCTCTTGGGACAGGAAGCTTTTACTTATTGACAAGCATCTTGTTAAATTTTGCATTACATTTTCAGTTTGACAATTTTAAAATGGTTCCTAACCCATTAGGAGTAGTACCCGGTAATGAATATTCCATACCAGACGGTGTACTTGCTGTCCCAATGGAATATTAGCTGGTACGGGTACAGAACCGTTAACAGTAGGTTAGACACTCTTCAAGAATTAAGGTCTCGTCTTTTGCAGTTAGTATGAAGGAACTTGTTCATTTAAGGAATTTGAGTCGAATTGTGCCTTGTCAATAGTCTTTCTTCAGGATACACTTCCTGGAAATGGAACTCTGTTTTCTTGACGTTAAGTGTAGATAAAGTGAAGTCAGTTCGAGTTGCAAATTCACTACCTCAGAGGCCAGTTCATCAGGTGTACTTTGTATCTTTCCCATAGACCTGCCACTGATGACTCCAAAAGTCACTTAACTCCCTTGGCCTTGTTTCCATATTAGTAGAATGGGAAGGAGTGTTTAGATGCCCAGAAAGCTCAAAATATGAGAGACCTTGCCTAGAGTCTGCTGTGTCACTACCTCTGAGCACTCAATAGACAGGTTACACGTTTTTATTATACAAAGTTCTGCTATGATACGGGAAGGCCTCATTAGTACTCTTAATTTACTTACATGAATCTTTTCACCAAACTTTACATATATACTCGTAAAAATATGAATCAGACTCCAAGAAAACTTGGTGACATCTAGATTCTACTGAAGGATCTCTCCAATCTCATAGAAGGATAGCCATTCCTTAACTTGTTCATGAAGCAATTGATTTGTGATTCAGTACTGCTTTTATTTGCCACAGATCAGAAAATGTACTTTTGTTTTTGGTAGTTGCCCATCCATTAAAGGTGGAATGGAAAATGAGTCCTTATTTTGTTGTGTGACTCCTGGTCTTCAGGAGGCTGGAGACCAAGTCCCTTTGTTGGACCCTAGGGATGACTGAGACATCAGGACTGGCCATCACACCATAACAGAGGTCTGTAGAGGTCAGCAGGTTTAAAAATTATGAGACTGTGTCATTATATCGCCCTGGCTGTCCTAGAACTCACTGTGTAGACCAGGCTGGCCTCAGACTCGTAGAGATCTACCTCAGCATGTTGAGATTAAAGGTCTGTGCCACCATTCCTGGTTAAATTTTAAATTGTTTATTGTCTAAGTAAGATTAGGAGCTTTTTTGGGTGGGGGGCAGGGTTTAATTTGAGACAAAATAGCTGTGTAGCCTGGCTGTGTTGAGCTTGCTAAATAGACCAGGCTGGTCCTGAATTTGTAGCATGTTCTGCTTCGGTTCCCCAGCTGTGGGGAATCACAGGTTTGCATCACTAAAACAATCGTTTTACTTCGAAACCAATGAAACGCTAGTGTACCCTACATTTAGGTTGGTTGGGGGAGATATTCAGACGTCCTGATGTACACTAGAGAGTAATCTAGTGACTGTGCAGGTGCCTACCGTTTAGCTTTTATGTTCAGATTTTTTTCTTGTTTAAGAACTAGAGGGGCCTGGAGAGAGATGGCTCAGAGGTTAAGAGCACTGACTGCTCTTCCTGAGGACCCGAGTTCAATTCCCAGCACCCACATGGCAGCTCACAACTGTCCAGTTCCAGGGGATCTGATACCTTCACACCAATGCACATAAAATAAAGTTAAATAAATTATTTTAAAAAAAGAACTAGATTGTAGGTAGGGTTGTGATTCCTGCTGTAGTCTTCCTAGCTTTTCACCTCACCAATACGGGTGTACCTCATCTGATGATATGAGCAGGGCCTAGCAGAATGAATAGCAGAAGAAAGCTGAGTTCTCTCTTGTTCTCTCTCTCAAAATTATTTTAATTTATTTTATGGGTATGAGTGTTTTTCCTGCATTCATGTCTACACTATATATGATCCTGGTGCCTAGGGTGTCAGATCTCTAGGAGCTGGAGTTATGGGCTGGGAATGGAACCTGGGAAGACCAGCTAGTGTTCTTAACTAGCAAGCCTGCTCTCCAGCCCCTGAGTTTTCTCTTCCTGTGCTGGGGCATGGATCTTCTTTTGTCTTTGGGTACTGGAGCTTCTGTAATCCTGTACTCTTGAACCCATAGGAGTCCCTGTGGTTCCCGGCCTTCTGATGTTCTCGGAATTGTATTCCTGGTCCTGGTTCTCCAGCTTACACAGAGCCTGTCACTGAAGATATTACTTTTCACAATAGAAAGATCCAATTCTACAATAAGTTCTTTTTCATTTCATCTTCTGTCCTTCTGCCCTCTCTGTCTTTCCCTTTGATGAGGGGTCTCTCTGTGTTACTGAGAATGGTCTCCAACTTCTTTTTTTTTTTTTAATTTTTTAAAAGGTTTTATTTATTTATTATGTATACACCAGAAGAGGGCACCAGATCTCATTATAGATAGTGTGAGCCACCGTGTGGTTGCTGGGAATTGAACTCAGGATCTCTGGAAGAGCAGTCAGTGCTCTTAACCTATGAGCCATCTCTCCAGCCCCGTCTCCAACTTCTTGAGCTCAAGTAATTATTCTGTTTCCGTCTCCAACTTCTTGAGCTCAAGTAATTATTCTGTTTCCGTCTCCTGAATGCTGGAATTACATGTGTGTTAGCATGTCTTCACATGGGTTTAATTTTTTAAAACTTCGATGTCACTTACTATGGTTGTGTGTGTCTATGATATGCCCCGTGTGTGTGTGTGTGTGTGTGTGTGTGTGTGTGTGTGGGGGGGGCATGGGCGCATGGCATGGTGTGTATGTGGAAGTCACAGAGCTTTATTTGGATTCCAGGGGTTGTGCTCAGCCTGTCAGGCTTGTGTAGCAAGCACTTTTACCTACTGAGCCATCTTGCTGGTCCTCATTTTAATTTTTAATGCAGGAATAGTGTTAGCTGCACTCCTTATAAGCAAAAGGTTTGTGGACTTATTTCTATAAGTTTTTAGAGTGCGAAAGAGGGAAAAAATGAGAATTCTTTTTTTTTTTTTTTTAACCCTCTAAAACTTACCGTGTAGCCCAGACCGGCCTGAAATTCACAGTTGCACTCTCTGGTCATTGTTTTTCCTAGTATGACTTTTAATTACGGGTTATAATTTCAACTTTTGACCAATGAATATGCCTCATATCAAAACTACTGGGGCAATACTCACGAGCACATGACCTGCAGTAGTTACAGATACCCTTCACACACTTTCCCAAAGTGGAAACATGAGCACTTGCATTAACTGTCCTAGATATAAATAAGGCTTCTGCAGGACATATAAAAAGGAGAAACAAAAGTATATAATTTAGTTGTGTTAGGTAGTAGTCCGTCTTCTAGTATTCTGTTGTATTTCACAACCAGATGATAGAGTGATTATTAATTATCTAGCTTTTAAAGTTCCTTGAAGATCTTGATGATTATTTTTAGACATATTAAAAAGGAATGACTCAGTTTATTTGAGCATAAACTTGCCTTTTTCATCATCTTAAATATTATTAGAATAATGCTAACTTATTTGGCCAGCAAGTAATCCAATCTTATAAACAAATTATCAAACTAGGGTGGTTTGCCAAAGTTCTACTGTCATGTAACATTGAGCATTTAAACATTTCTGAGTTAATGTCTGTAGGAAGAATTTTTTATTTATTTTTTACAACTAGCACATTTAATGTAGTGAAAGTTCAATTTCCTTATTTTTCTTGGAATTTTGAATAGTCCACTAAGTTACTTACTTACTCTTTTTTTTTTTTTTTTTTTTTTTTTTTTTTTTTTTTTTTTCCAGGGTGTAGTCCAGGCTAGTTCTGAACTTCTACAGTACCTCCAGCTTCAGCCTCCTGAGTGCTGGGATTAAAGGTGTGCACTGTTGAACATGAGTTTCCACTTGTTTTAACACTTGTTTATATCAGGAAGCCAACTAGAACAGTGCTCCTTTAAACTGGAACTTTACAAAATAAATTATCAGTGCCCTGTAAAGAGAAGTTATTTTACAGACACCGTGAGAGGTAAAAACCTTTCTGATTATAAATTTGTTTCAGTAACTTCAGTCAAGAGATGTTAAGAGTCACAGAGAGAAAAAACTTACTGGTCCAGGGTTTGGAGAGATAGCTCAGTGAAGTGCTTGTCACATTAGCCTGGGGACTTGAGTTTAGATTACAAAATTGTTCAACTCCAGGTTCAGGAGAGTGTAGAGCAGTTAAGGAAGAGACAGGATGTTGATCTCTGGAATCCACACAGATGTGAGCACACACACACACACACACACACACACTCACCACACAGGGCACCAGGAGAGTGTAGAGCAGTTAAGGAAGAGACAGGATGTTGATCTCTGGAATCCACACAGATGTGAGCACACACACACACACACACACACACACTCACCACACAGGGCACCAGGAGAGTGTAGAGCAGTTAAGGAAGAGACAGGATGTTGATCTCTGGAATCCACACAGATGTGAGCACACACACACACACACACACACACACTCACCACACAGGGCACCAGGAGAGTGTAGAGCAGTTAAGGAAGAGACAGGATGTTGATCTCTGGAATCCACACAGATGTGAGCACACACACACACACACACACACACACTCACCACACAGGGCACCAGGAGAGTGTAGAGCAGTTAAGGAAGAGACAGGATGTTGATCTCTGGAATCCACACAGATGTGAGCACACACACACACACACACACACACACTCACCACACAGGGCACCAGGAGAGTGTAGAGCAGTTAAGGAAGAGACAGGATGTTGATCTCTGGAATCCACACAGATGTGAGCACACACACACACACACACACACACACTCACCACACAGGGCACCAGGAGAGTGTAGAGCAGTTAAGGAAGAGACAGGATGTTGATCTCTGGAATCCACACAGATGTGAGCACACACACACACACACACACACACACTCACCACACAGGGCACCAGGAGAGTGTAGAGCAGTTAAGGAAGAGACAGGATGTTGATCTCTGGAATCCACACAGATGTGAGCACACACACACACACACACACACACACTCACCACACAGGGCACCAGGAGAGTGTAGAGCAGTTAAGGAAGAGACAGGATGTTGATCTCTGGAATCCACACAGATGTGAGCACACACACACACACACACACACACACTCACCACACAGGGCACCAGGAGAGTGTAGAGCAGTTAAGGAAGAGACAGGATGTTGATCTCTGGAATCCACACAGATGTGAGCACACACACACACACACACACACACACTCACCACACAGGGCACCAGGAGAGTGTAGAGCAGTTAAGGAAGAGACAGGATGTTGATCTCTGGAATCCACACAGATGTGAGCACACACACACACACACACACACACACTCACCACACAGGGCACCAGGAGAGTGTAGAGCAGTTAAGGAAGAGACAGGATGTTGATCTCTGGAATCCACACAGATGTGAGCACACACACACACACACACACACACACTCACCACACAGGGCACCAGGAGAGTGTAGAGCAGTTAAGGAAGAGACAGGATGTTGATCTCTGGAATCCACACAGATGTGAGCACACACACACACACACACACACACACTCACCACACAGGGCACCAGGAGAGTGTAGAGCAGTTAAGGAAGAGACAGGATGTTGATCTCTGGAATCCACACAGATGTGAGCACACACACACACACACACACACACACTCACCACACAGGGCACCAGGAGAGTGTAGAGCAGTTAAGGAAGAGACAGGATGTTGATCTCTGGAATCCACACAGATGTGAGCACACACACACACACACACACACACACACCACACCACACCACACCACACATGCGCGTGCCATGCATACATGGAGCAAACAGTTTACTGACTCAGATACCAGACCTGGGCCCTTGGTGGATATAAAATCTTTAACCAAATTCTTGAAAAATATCCACTCTTTCTCAGAAATGACAGGATTGTCCTTTCCTTTTGTTAGCCAATCCTTTCTCTCTATTTCTTTTATCCTGTGTTTGTCATGACGCACAGCATGCTAAGAAACTGACTTCCAAGGCTGTTTCCCATGCCTCCCTTTCTGGGATAATA